CCCCCAAACATCGCTGCGATCGTGGGCGGCACCGTCGCGGGCGTGGCCCTGATTGGGCTGCTGCTCCTGGTGATGTGGCGGCTGGTGACGGAGGTGTTCGACCGCAGGGAGTACAGCAGGTTCGAGAAGGAGAAGTTGAAGGCCAAGTGGAACGAGGTGAGCTGGCTCTGCCTTTCCCGAGGCACCCCACAGACAGCCGCCCTGTTCCGTCTGCCCTGCCTTTTCCCCAGAGCTGGTTGGAGCCCTGCCAGCCTGACGGGTGTCTATTCTTAGTTGTGGGGCGGGTGGGCTCCGGGGAGGAGGCCTCAGGCCCTCTTGCAATCGTGCAGGTGTGGGAAATAACTGGGCACAAGCCACTGCCAAGTGGTTCCCAGGCTTTAATTCCTGATGGGCCTCACGTGTCCTATACCCTCCCCAAACCCAGCACCAGGGCCAGTGGCTCCTTTATGGCCCCAGGCTGGAGCTGTTGAGAGAACAGACACAGATGCTGAGGGGCACTCATGGTTTGGGTACAAGATGGGGTGGACTTTCCCTTCTACAGTGTGGGAGACACAGGGGGCCCAGAGACTTACCCAAAGCAGGTTTATCTGGAGGCCCCTGGCTAGCGGAGATGTCTCCCGTTGCACATCGCTGCTGCCTCTCATGCCCGGGTTGGTCTCATGGCAGGAAGGAGGAAATGCCCATGCAGCCCTAACCAGAAATCATCGGCACATGGCTGGTATGGGGACCTGAAAAGTTAAAAGTTGCAGAACTGAATTGTATAGCCGCTCCACTGGCTGCCCACTGCCTCTGAGAGGGACAGCCACCTGGACGTACCAGGTTCTTTACAGTCCAGAAGCTCTCACCTGGGCAAATGCTTCTGCACCTGAGGATGAGTATTGGAGGGTTGGAGCAGTGTGTCCACATCATAGCAGAGGAGCAATGGCTCACCTGTCACCAAACTGTGGGGGAAAAGCTCCCCGTGACTGGGGGAGGACCACACGTGAGCAGCCCGTCTCTCCGTCCGTTTGTAATGTTCGCTCAAGCCGAACCTTAGCCAGCTGGGTGAACTGAGGCTCTGTTTCTGGTACATCCAGGCAGCACTAACAACGTACCTGTCTGGTTTTTCTTCCCAGGGTGATAATCCCCTTTTCCAGAGTGCTACCACCACTGTCATGAACCCCAGATTCAATGGAGAATGACGTGGCACTACCCTGTACAGCCTGTGAAGGCTCGGCTGTTAAACCAGGAAATACCAAACTAAGGGCGCCAGCATTTTATTCTCTAAGCAAAGAACTGCTGTACGCTGTTCCCTTCTTCCATGACGCTGCCAGTGAAGGGCAGGCTTTGTCCAGCGGGCTGTGTTGTGCACCTCCAGCAACCTCCTCCCTCTGCGTGGCTCCTGCAAGCTGTGTTAATAGGGCTGTGAGAGGGCCGCAGCATAAGCTTTGATGGGTGGGATTATGATCAGTTTGCATTAGCATGGGCTCCTGGATAACAATCCCACCATCGCTCTCAACTCACGCTGCAAATACCTGCAAGACATGGCTGCTGCTAGAGCTTGAAACAAGCCTGCATTGTTACTAGTTTTCAACCTGCACCCAATATTGATCTTCGCTTGACATTTTACCAGATGCCACCTTCTTTCTAGTCTAAAGCTCTCCGCTCAAAGACTGCGCTCACTCCAATCCCTGGCCAGCTGTGCTGCGCTCTGTTACGGGAACTATTGCAGGTCTTGTAGGAAAGACAGTGCTAAAGTCATTCTGGGGTCGGGCCACGTGCCAGTCTCCAGAGCTGTAAACCCACTGGGAGGGTGGTGGCCATAGGGGTGGGTGGATGCTGCTGGCTGGAAAGAGGGAGCAGTCAGCGATGTGCCCCACATCTTCCTAAATCATTGCCCTCTTGCCAGTGACTGACCCCTCAGCTTTCTGCTGCATTTCGGAGTGGGTCTGCAGCCCCAGCTGCACCCGTAAGCCTTGGGGTCTGAGCCTTCGCAATGATGGGTTAGTGGCAGGGAAACAACTGTTCCAAATGTGAAATATGTCAGGTGCAGCAGTCAGATTTCTACGCTAACTTCATCCCATCTCACAAGGATCCTCCTCCCCTTCGCAGTGAGTCAGTCGGACACACGCACCCCAGGAGAAAGCGACAGGCACATCCCGGGGGTGTCTCCGTGCTCAGTGCTAGCTGGAAGGGCTGCATTGAATGACTAATTCTTATTTCAGAGGGTCATGCCTGTAAAAGTCTGTATGAATCTAGAACAGGGGTGGGCAAACTTTTTGGCCTGAGGGCCACATCAGCGTATGGAAATTGTATGGCGGGCCATGAATGCTTATGAGATTGCGGGGCGGGGGGCGGGAGGGGGTGAGGGCTCCAGCTGGGACTGCAGTCTCTGGGGTGGGGCCAGAAATGAGGAGTTCAGGGTGTGGGAGGGGGCTCTGGGTTGAGGTATTGGAGGGTGAGGGCTCTGAGGTGGGGCTGGGGATGAGGGGTTTGAGGTGCAGGAGGGTGTTCTGGGCTGGGACCAATGGGTTCAGAGGGCGGGAGGGGGATCAGAGATGGGGCAGGCTGTTGGAGCATGGGGGTGAGGGCTCTGGCTGGGGGTGCGGGGCTTGGGGTACAAGGGGGGCTCTGGGCTGGGATGGAGGGGTTTGGAGGGCAGGAGGGGGATCAGGATTGGGGCATGTGGGGGGGCTGAAGGGTGCAGGCCCCGGGCAGTGCTTACCACAAGCAGCTCCCAGAAGCATGTTCCCCCCTTCGGCCCTGAGGCAGAGCCGGGCGGCTCTGCCCCCTGTCCTGTCCACAGACGCCACCCCTGAAGCTCCCATTGGTCGGGAACCGTGACCAATGGGGGCAGCGCCTGCGGACGGGGCAGCACACAGAGCCGCCTGGCCACACCTCCACGTACGATGTAGGAGCCGGAGGGCGGTCATGCCGGCTGCTTCCTGGGAGCCGCGCGGAGAGGTGCAAATCCCCAACCCTGCTCCCTGGGAGGAGCTGAGGGCTAAATTAAATGGTCTGACTGAAGTGGCCCACGGGCCACAGTTTACCCACAACGATCTAGAACTTGCTTTATGTGTGAGAACAATTTGCCTGTAGCATCATGTCACATCCCCACTCTGGTCTATTAATAAAAATACATCAAACCCGGCAGCTGGCCTGCAGTGTGTGTCCGCAGCCTGCGTGATGCCTTCTGTTGGCTGCCTCTCGAGGGAGCGGACTGGTTTAATCCAGCCAGATGAGCCCAACCCAGGTCACGTCACACAGCTCTTCTGGATACGAGTACAAGCCCTGGTCAGGGGTGACTTGGGCGTCCCCTGTCCCTCCCCCTACTGAGCTAGCCCCCCTCCCGTCTGCCCATGTGCTGGAGCGGCTTGGAGAGGCAGAAGGAGCCAGTGAAAGCACCGCGGGGGTTACTCTACCTTCCGCTTCCTGCTCCTCTCCCGCCTGTGCTGACTCCAGTCAGCTCCCGCACACATCGGTGGAGCAGGCGTCGCCAGGTCCAAGGGACTCTGCCTAATACCACCCCCCGACTGTGGCTCTAGAGCTGTGATACTCACAATACCCCCATCAACACATTGCACCCTGGACGGTCAAGTGATCTGGGCCCGCACTGCCAGCGAGGATGTGCCCCCCGCAGATGGCAGCAGAACTGAGGACCATGGGACTGACTGCTGGCAATGGGTGCTCGTGGCAAAGCCGGGCTGCCCACACCAGGTGCGTTGAGCCAGGCTCTTGTTTGAAGGCTGACGGATGGCATGCACAGCGCAGTGGAGCTGGAGGAGCGTCAGGTATTACATCTGTGCTGTGCTGAGTGTGTGTCTTCCCCCCGACGCAGGAATCTTTGGGTCCCTTACAGGACCCCTCCTGGAGGGGGAATGGGTCGTGTGCCCAATGCTGCAGTTACAAGCCGAGCTCAGGAGTTAATGTGGTCTCAGGGACGGGAGCCTGCCCCTCTGCGCTGGGATGCTGCATAGCTCCAAATGCCCCTGTTAGGGAGTAAGTGGGCCACGAGCTCTGCGGCTGGAGAGAAACTTCCCGCGATGCCAAGGCACAGCCAGGTGCCCTCTCTGGGGCTGCAGCCAAAACCCACACCGGGAAACCCATCCCAGGCTCAGGCCGCACGCTACACACAGCTTAGGCCGTTACATCCCAGCGACGCGAGGTGTCGTTTAAATACGTGGCTACCGCCTACTGACTTCAGGGCGACATTACAGCTGAACTTTGCTGAACTGGGCCTGTAGCACCAAAGCCCTAGAAACTGCTCTGAGCACACGTGAACAAAGCAGCAACCCCTCTCTAGGTTCAGCTGCCCCTTGCGGGGATCAAACTCACGACACCCCAAGCCCCTCCCCACAGTCTGCCTGGAGCAAACACCCAGGAGCAGCACTGGGGCTTCAGCAGGGGGCACTGAGAGACCTTACGCCCTGCCACAGAGATCATGAGCCCAGAGAAACAAACCAGCCAGACGAAGCTCAATGCCGTCTCTCGGGAGAGCTACTCGCAAAGCAGCGCCTGGTCATTATCCCGCCGCCTCCCTTTCTGCTGGGCACGGGCTGAAAGGGGCCCAGGCTTTTCAAGCACATCCTGGAACTTTCTACTGGCAAGTTGTTTCATTTAAAAAAACCAATCGGTTTTCAATTTTGAAAGAAGGAAGCCTCACACTCAGTCCTGCCCCACGCCCAGACCCCCAGCAGGCACTAAGAGGGTGCAGTCTCAGGGTGGGGGGCCAGTACTAATCCCTGTTTTGCACTTTACTCTCCCAGGCCTGGACAATCACGGCAGTGAGGTACAAAAGCTAGTAGCTAGCACTGAGGCACAAACTGACAATCCCAGGGAGCAATCGCTGCGCCTGATTCCAAGAACAGTGCAAAGCACCCACATTTCTGGGACCAGCCAGCCACGGTATGTTAGTGGCTAGGAGACCCCGCAAACAGGCCAGGCAGCGCTGAGCACTGGCTAGCTGAAGAAATGCGCGGCAGCAAAACATGTCTGAATCACAAAGGTTTATATGTTCCATCTTTTGTTTCAAACAGCTTTTATTTGGGTAGACAAGAGTGACAAAATAACGGGAGTTTACTGATTAAAAATCCCATGTGTTACATGAGCACTTAGGCCTCATTTCAGCCAGTGTCTGACTTTAGGCACATGAGTAATCCCACTGAACTCAATGGGACTCTCCACGCTGCCCAGAGTTAGCCGCATGCCCAAGGTTCTTGCTGAACCAAGGCTAACCCAGGTGGTTGTATCCTAGTACTCATCCTGCCAAACAGAGGGATGGGGGTGCCGGGAAATCCTGGACCTAAACAAACTCAATAGCAGTAAAACTTTCCAGAGGGAAACAGAACTGAACTGTTTCAGCGACAGTGATCTACGATCGGGGAGCTGCCTGCCTGCAAACTGCCTTTCAATATTACCAGGAGAGCCGGTAAGAGCCAGTTTGAAAACCACGGAGGAGCTTTCTCGGCAGAAAGTCCTACTGGGAGTTTGGTCCCATCCGAGTGGCCAGCAGCCTCCCTGTGGAGACACGTGGCTTGCGGTGAGCATGACTCTGCACTGAAGTCCAAGTCTGACGAGGGGTGGAGGTTCATTCTGGAACATCCTGCCTGACGGGGACTTCCTGATGCTAGGATGTGTGGCATCTTGGAAGGATCTCAATGGCGACCTGGGGGGGAGGCAAAGGGTCACATGACCCTCCCCAAAACGCTGGGGAAGGGGGCAAGGCTGGCAGCTGGGGCAATGAAGGGGCAGGGCCAGAGCCGGAAGGGAAGAGGCAGGGCCAGAGCCTCTCCTTTTCCGGCCACATTACCTGGTGCGGCATGCAGACGCTGCCCTCTCCCAGGCAGCCTCCGGCCACGCTGCCTGCCAGAGACAGCCCATAGAGAGCAGCCCTCGTGTGCCACACCACGGCGGGCAGCGTCCCAGGCAGGCAGCGTGGCCGGAGGCTGCCCGGGAGAGAGCGTCCCCTTTAGCTAGTGCCCCCTTTGTGTCCCTCCCCCTAGTCGCCTCTCCGAGTTTACAGCCTAGGCCTTTGCCGTGTGTCCCCTCAGAGGCTCCCCTGGCATTTATGCCAGCTGTGTTTCCGGCGGGACACTTCCAATTTTCTTGAGATGAAGTATCCAGCTCCACGGCTTTTCTGCGCAGGAGTCAGACTTACGAGAGAGCCACTTTATGAGTGGGTAGCTGCCCCCCAGTGCTGCTGCTGCCCCAATTATGAAGAGTCCTTTGTTAATCACCTGCAAGTATAAGGAGAAATTCAGCCTGGCTCAGAAGGCTTGTTTTGCCCCTAGCAGAGAGAACACACCACTTTATAATAACCCTCCTCGCCCCTGCCCTCGGGCAGGAATTACACCGCCCCCAGCATGGAGCCTTTCCCACCGACTGGGGCACTCCAGAGGAAGGCTCGACTGCTAAGCCAAGCCAGGGTAACCAGATAGCAAGTGTGAAAAATCGGGACGGGGGTGGGGGGTAATAGGAGCCCCTATTAAAAGAAGCCCCAAATATCGGGCCTGTCTCTCTAAAATCGGGACATCTGGTCACCCTAAGCCAAGCCCCGAAGCCCCAGTGTGATCAGGAAAAGGAGTTTGCTGAGAGGACGGAAGTCAAGCCCGGTTGGCTAAGTATCAGCACAGAGCATTGCAGGCCCCTCCTCTGGTCTAGAGCAGCCTCACAGCTGCCAGTGGAGACATCTCAGGGGACTTGTCTTCACTCAGAAAAAGGGGCGTCCTTCGCTCAGGTTAGCTGACAGGACGGAAAGTCCTCGTGAGAACAGGGCAGTTTGTTAGCAGGTTGAAGGAAACCCTAAGCTCCCCATGGTTAAGTCGAGCTGGGGGAGGTTAGGGTTTGCCTCAACCTGCTAAATCCTGTGAAAGCCACACACCACCTTATCTTCGCTAGGGTTTCCACCATCTTAGCTAACATGAGCTGAGACACATCTTCCTTCCTTCCCAGCGAAGACGCACTGATACAGGAAGGGCTTGCTGCTCTCAGAAGCTCCTGTGGGGTTCGGAGAGGGGGCGCTCACCCCACACTGGCCCTGGAAGGGCTAAGGCAGGTTGAGAAGGGGCTAATTAACCCAACAGGCCACAGCTGGGAGGAATCAGGAGGCTGAGTCCCGTCCCCACCCCCGGCTGAGGGTGGGAGGAAGGATCTGGGCTGGGCGTAGAAAGGCAGGAAGGTGATAGCAGAGGGGGCTGCTGGGAAATGCCGCAGTCACTCCTGGGAGAGGGCGGAGTGTTTGGAGGCTGTGGAGACAGGTAGCCTGCAGCTGCTCCCCAGGAGGAGGGAGTGGTGGGGCTGGCACCAAATGTTAGAAGAGAGCTCAGGGAAAGGCCGTGAGGTCCAGGAGGGACCAGACCTTGGCTGGTGGCTAGAGGGTCCCTGAGCCAGATCCCGGAGCAGAGGGCAGGTCCAGGTTCCTGGCCAGTCACTGAGGTGTGGCCCAGGGGGCAGTGAATGGGGAGACTGCCTGAGACTGCTAGGGAGTGAGACCCTGGTGACCCGGAAGGGGACAACGCATATAGTGAGCTGGCCGGAGGTGGAGTCACGGAGAGGCAGCAGCAGCTTGTGGAGCAAGAGAGGGCTGCACACTGGCAGAGAGGGCCAGAGTGGCATGGAACCGCAGGAAGGGGCGTTGACCTGATGAGCTATTCCGCAGAGCGGCCAGGAGGAGGTGCCATCCTGGCCGTTAGCGGAGCCTCCTGTCACAGGTATTCTCCAGGGTTGGCGGATGCTAGCCATGCCAATCACTTTGTGTCACTAGCCAGAAAGGATTTTGTCAGACAGGCCACCTACACTCGGCCCAATGACTGGCCATGGCTGGCACATGAACCGCTGGCTGGGGGAGGCTAGCCCCCAGCCCCCCCCTTCCATGCACCCCAGAACCCATAGTCCCCCCACTGCGGCCGCCGGCCTCTGCCCCAGGCTGGCTAGTGCCTGCAGCCCCCACGGCCCCAGGAGGGAGAGCGCATGATGCTGCCGCAGCCCCCACAGCCCCGGGAAGGTGAGCAGCATGGCCCTGGGGTAGAATGTGGGCGGAGCCACATCTGGCTGTTCGGGGAGGCACAGCCTGCCCTACCCACTGCCCATGTGACTGGCCTAAGTTCACAGGCCAGGCAAAAGCGCTGGGGGAGGTATGCCGGGGTGGAAAGGCGTCTTTGGGGGCATGCTTGTGATAAAGTCAGACAAGGGGGACTGGGCTGAAAGGGCTGCACGCGGAAGGCCTGTATTCATGCGGGCAGGTGGGGCTTAAGCCCACAGCTACCATAGCACCAAACCCAGAGGGCAGTTTCCTGCCCGTCGTTTGCTCTCTCCCAGCAAGAGGTCGAGCCGCCATGCACAAGTCACTGGTGTGGAAAGCTGAAGCAGGCCACCTCCCCAGTGGCCCTTTCCCACTGTCCGTCCCTCGCCTCCCCCCCCCAGCTGTTCTGCACGAACATCCAGTAGAGTAAAAACAATCTCCGTATCTGAAGGGCTCTTTGGCATTTTACTCAATTGTCCTCACTTGCTAGCATAATAACCCCTCCCCCATTGTCACCAGGACTTTCAACACCACTAGCACAGACCAGCTGAGCCAAAGGAGCACCTCCATTAGTAAGCAGCAGTAGTTGACTGTTATCCCCTAGTGCACTAGTTACTGGCGGGGGACATGATGCACCCAGTACAAATGTGCGACGCTGAGCCGTGGGGAGACACTGCAGGGAGCAGAGCTGGCACGGGGCTGAACCAGTGTCTGCTCCTTGCAGGAACCTGGGGCAAGACGCGTGCGCTCTGTGCAGAGCGGCACAGCTCCCTGCATTAGGGTTCTGGGAGATGACCAATCCGCAGCCTGGGGCTGGGGGAACAGCCCGCTGAGACGGGAGCTCCACCATGCTGCTTTCTCAGGAAGCTCTGAGCCCCTGGTCCCTACTCACTCAGTTTCAGCTCTGGCAACGCAGATTCACAGCCAGGGGTGTCTCGAGCCAAGGGCAAGCGGTGCTGCTGCCCAGCACGGCAGGCCAGCGCAGCCAGAAGGGGCTGGGAAAAGTACCTACCAGTGGCAAGGACACGTGCTTCTATCATCTGAGGAGGGCAAAGGGGGAGGGCACGAGACGCTCTGAATGTCTGGGTCAGTGAAAATAGGCTCCAATTCCCACTCACCTTGTTCTGCCATTTCCAGCGCTGCCGCGCCTCGTGGTAGCGTATTCTGGTGAACGTGACCTGCGCCAGAGTGCAAAGATAGTCAGCCCTTCGGGGTGAGCAGAGACTACGCCAGGGGGAAGGGAGAGCAGGCAGGGGACAGAGAAGAAGGCCTTACCATTGTGTATAACGGGATAATGGTGGACGGCATGAGCCAGTGAAGAAAGTTGTCCACGTTCTTGCGGAAAATGAACCACTTGGAATTAACATGTGCACGCATCTGGAACAAAGCGCTGAGTTTAAAAGGTGGTGCCAGTGGGGATTTTTACCCCCATGCTGTGGCTACTTGCTCTCATCCTCTTCGGCCACTCAGAGCTCTCACTTCCTACCACTAAGGCTAGGCCCACACTGTCCAGGTCTGAGCACCCTGGCTAGCCGAGCCTGGGCGTGAGCATCCCCACAGGAGAGCCTGACTCGGATTCCTGTGGCCTCACCATTTCTGCACCGCCTATGTGTGTCTGAGGGCATATCCCATGGTTCTTTGCACTGAGTCACCGTAGGCAACTGCAGAAAAACTTGTCTGTGCTGTGGCAGGGGCTTGTGGGAAGGCCTGGGAGCCCAGCAGCACTCAAGTGATTTGGCCTGTATCCTCGCTGCAAAGTGGTGGGTTCTAGCCCGAGTTAACGCAGCACTTGACTCTAAGCCACTGCCCTCAGCCAGGCCAGGTAGCTGGTGGGAACCACCTCCCAACCCAGGTCAGAGGCTTTGCTGGGTTTAAGGCAAGAAGCCAGGTTAACCATGTAGTGTAGACGTGTCCTGGCAGTCACTGCCTGGAGCAGAGTCTGCCATTGTATTAGCAATTTGCACCGGGGTCAGTTTAAAGGCACTCTTAGGCCAAAGTCTCGCTGTGCTCTGCCACAAACAGATATGGGATGGGGCGAAGTGACAGACAAGTCATGAGGCCAAAACAATGTACAGCAATAGGCACAGATGAGAAGCGGCATGGCCCAGTGGGTAGAGCACTGGAGTGGGAGTCAGGAGAGCTGGGTGACCCTGGACAAGCCACTTCCCCGCCTGTTCCTGTTTCCCCTCCCGGCCTGTGTCTGTCTTGTCTACACAGGAAAGTTTTACCAGTTAGACCAGTATAATTATAGTTACCCCAGTATAAATCCACCACCACCTCCTCCAGTGAGGACTCCTGAGGCCAGAATAAAAGTGTCTTTTTTTTAATTTATTTAGCTTAAACCCCTTCCAAAGAGACATCATTTAAACTGAAAAAAGCCCCTTCTAGTCAAGAATAAAAGTGTCCCCCTGTGGGAGGGGGATTGGACCAGTATAGCTAGAGTGCTTTACATTCACATCTTAGCTTCGACTGGCGTAACTTGCCCCTGGTGTCTAGCCCCTAGCCTGCAAGCTCTTCAGAGCAGGGCCTGTCCCTCTGGGTGCGTACAGCACTTGTCCCAGGCCAGAGCCTGAGCTGGTTGTGCCATCTGGGTGCCACAGGAATCCAGAGAAGAGAGTCAAAGGAGGCGCTGGGAACTCAGAGCAGCACATTTGATGTCTGTTTACATTAGTTAGCAGGGCCGGTCTCCACACAGGCCACGCTCTGACTGAACGAAAGGGGTGACAATTTGTGGCACTTGTGCAGCCAGACATTCGGAAAGTGGTGTAAGGGAGTAACTCCAATGTGTGTGTGTGTGTGGCTGCTGGACAGTAACGGATCACACCCCTGCCTCTCCGATCCCGCCCTCAGGCCCTCGCAGTGTATGTGGGGGGGAGGGGGATTTGCACTCCTGGTCAGGTAATATGCAGTTGTAGAGTGAGGAGGGGACGGCTGCCTCCTGTAGCAAAGCTTCGAGTCCTGGGCATGACCCAAAGCATCTCAGCTCTCTGGAAATCTGCCCCCTGCACCTCTCCCAGCCCCTTCCTGCACAGCTGGGGAAAGGCTGCTCTTAGCTGGGCTTGGAAACCTCAAATCTCCACTTTTCTGTTCACTTCAGCAAAGGTGCTGGGAAGCCAGGCACTGGTAAAGGGCTCCTGGGTGTGCGTGCATGTGTGTGCGTGCGCGTGTGTTTGTGTGTGCGAGTGTGCACGCCTAGAAGAGAATGGGGGACAAGGGGTTTTCTTGCTGGGAGTTCTCAGATGTCAAGTCTTATTTCCCTCCCCCCAGCTCTAAGTTTGTAGTGGGCAGAGGACAATATCAGAACCATGTCACTGCATTAACAGTCATTAACAGACACGGGACATCTCTCTGGCCTGG